TGACGTATATCATTAACAACTATTAACTTTCTCGCGAAAATTAAGATCAACCACGCAAGTTCATGCACTCGGTCATAGTCTGTTCGTTTAATATTCAAAAAAATACCAACGGTGCAAGTTCAAAGTCATCAACTATAAGGTTAAACGGGTATGAGACTATTTAGCGCCGAAAGGCCTCACTTCGCGAACTACTGATCTTAATTTGGCTTTTGTGCTTTGCAAAGCACCGGAAATGGAGCAGTTGTCCACGAAGGCGGGGAGATGGTAGACAATAAGTAGTGTTCCATTCACAATTAGCAACAATTTAAATACAAAAATGTGGCTTATTTAGTGCGATGTGAGATGAAAGCCATGGTGCAGAATCACCTACTCTGTACTTATTCCCAAAGTCATATTCATTACTATTCCATTCAAAGCAAGCGCACTATCAATTTTGTCCTAAATTGGTTCATACTGGCGAGATTTGACCTAATTATAGTGACTATATACCAAAATTTGCAAAAATGTGCACAGTTGTTGAGTTTTTTGGAAAAAGTACACGGTATACTGTTTCCTTTGTTCATCTGGAAAAGTCTAAGCCAAAAATCAGAATTCGTTGCGTAATTTTTGACCAACTGCCGACAAAAATCCTCTGAGGAGCGTTATAGTGTTCGACCAAAAGATTATTTTTAGAAAAAGATGAAATTTTCCAAAAAGAAGTTTGTAGAGGGACTTGGGCGAACTCGCCAAGCAAATTTCTTTAGAAATTTATGCTAACATTGTTTATTTTTTGAAGCAACTGTACTACCGTTTCTGATTTTTTAGTTAATAAGAATTCCCTCATCACTATTTCGTCAATCACTACCAACGTTGTTGTGATCACCTAATTATATTAAACGAAGTATGCTATTGATTAAAATAAGTACGAAAACTCGTCCCGATTTCAGCTTTGTTTTGGTTTGTGCCCTGCTCGAACGTTATCTCATCACGATAAGATCACCTTATCTGAAGAAGTTTCAACAACGGCGAAGTATGGCTTGTGTATGCTCGTTCATCTTAGCTTTGGTAACTAAAGGAGGAATTTTATTCGAATTGGACATCTTTCCCGAAGAGGACGAGTCCTGTCGGGTAAGTAAGCAGAGAACAATGTGGCAGTTGCCCATGTCAGTCTTCTGCAAGAATAATAAGTAGTCTGTTGAAAATATGTAATAAATAGGAATTCTTTTTCTTTGTACCGCCTCCGATATTTCTTTCCTTTTTTTCTATGAAATTCATTCAAAAATTCTAGAACTTTCTCTCAGCTGCTACAGTAAGATGCCTTTTTATTGATCCATATTCCAGAATACCGTAAACGAATATTATGTGGATATGACTGCAGTGAATCAACAATGGTTATATGGTACACTATATCGATTCTGGATTCGCAATATAGTGACCGTATTTGTGCCATTCTTCCTATTGACGCTCATCAATTTCAAGACTCTCGTCAAGTTGAAAGCACAACTTAAACAGGCGAAATGTCGAGAAGGACGCAAATTCTCGGTTCGCGTTGAAAATAAGGTAATTTCAGTTTTCTTGTTGTCCACTAGTCCTCCATCAAATACAAGTCAACTCGTCCGAAAAACGAAGTAAGATGCAAGCAGTCATTTGGGAATCTGCTTGCAACAAACAAAACAACAAGGAACTAAACCTTAATTCT